CATTGTAATTGGAGACAATACATCTCAACTGAAGCCTCATATAGAAGGCCATAATGTATTAAATCATTGGTCTGTGTTTTATGTCTTTCTTATATCTGTTATTTACATTTTTCTGGCTTATTGATCAGCAGCCCCCATACAAGTGGATGAAGGAACACAGCCCTATGTCATTGAAACCACACCACCTTCAAAAACTGCTAACATGGGGTTAAAGCTTTTAACCCAGCAGTCAGCTTTCCTTAACCTAGCTGATTTTTTTTGGAAGGGGGAGAAAAGATATATTTATGGGTCTTTTGAACTTCTAAATCAAGCTGGAAGGAACTCAAGTGCCCAAAAGAAATTTATCATAGCTGCTGGGGGATAGGAAATTTGCATACACATTCCTGTTAATATGAGTAAGAAGGAAAAGAAGACACAAACTCCACCTCTGTATAAAGCACATCCATCTTTACGCTAAAGTGATTTATGAAGTAAAACCGTCTGCCTTTAAGCACCTCTTAAAGTAGAATCAACCACTGATAATAAACCAGTGATTTAGACAGATGGATAAATACACTGCTGTAAGCAGAGGCAGCTCAGTGTCAGTCCACAGCACAGATAGGCCCTGTACCAATGGTGAGCATGGGTCATTGTAGATGTCACCTTCCAAAGTAGGTTCAGAATTGTATCCAGTGTTGGGCATCATCACAGTATCTTCCAATATGATATATGTTATGATACTGGTGGCTTTCGAAAATACTTCTCCTAAACTTTGCTGCACTGAATGACAACGAAAAAATGTTCTGCTACATCTTCCAGTCCTGGGTTTGCTTAGATAAACCAGGTCTGGGGCTAAAATAGGACAATTGGTTGACAACCCAAGTTTGTCTCACTAAAGGTGACATTACCCAAAACGCAATTTACTGAGGTGATTCCTGAACTGACAGCGCACTGAGCAGCGCCCAGTAAAGCCTGAAACACACACTGTGTGTAAGTAGTTGTGCTCAGGCTTTTTTCCAGGACCTTTTCGCACTTGTGCATTGAAAGAACATGAATGAGGCTATTAGTGCCAGGGTGTTACTAGCTTCACCACCGACATGTTGTGTACCTGTGAGAGTCCTCCTCCCCTGTGCTGCCCCCTCGGGGTCTGGCGTCTGCTGTGTCTGCTGGCTGCTCTCAGAGGACGCCTTTCCAGCCAGCTGCCTCTGCTGCAGGGAGATTTACACTGTGTCTATATGACTGCCAGCTACAGACTTGATAATACCTAAACACCTACTTTTCACCTCTTTAGGTGAAACGGGTTAAATCCATATGTTTAACTTTTATTTTTCCACATTCTAGAGCACATAAATACACACCAGATGTGTGTAAGAGGGGGTGAACTCCTGTCAGATAGCGAAAAGCTGTGTCAGAGCCTGCCTTTACATCTCCAGCTGCTTCTAAGGATGCTTTTGCACTGGTTGGTACCAGTTGGTGGCTCCCAGTCATGGGGCCCTGAGGAAGCAGCTCTGTGTCCAGGCATGGTCAAGGGTGGACCTCCCTCTTAGGATTTCACCACCAAGGACTTGAGAGCATCTGTTCTAAGTATGATACCCCCAAGATGTATTTCACTACAGGTTGTACCTTTTGGAATTCAACCTCCTAGAACTAAAGCACCAGTAAATTAAAAAAGTCAAATACAGAAGACAGAAGTGATACGAACATTTGAACCAAAGTGAAGAAGAGATCGCAGTCTTGCCTTGACAAGATTCTCATGGTAATCTCATACACCATTATGTCAGTAATTATTAATGAATACTATGAACTATGTGAAATTTTCATTTTTTTTTCTCATAGTCTTACATTTCTTTTTAATTATTTACTATCTCTTCAGTGAAATTAACTTTGTACTCCATAACAGAGGACTCAGCACATTTACGGTTATTAATGTCTGTTGAAGGATCATGTTTCTAAGAATCTAAAGATTTAAGGGATTTTTTAATAAGATTTTTTTCACACTACTTTTTTTTCCACTTCATGGATTTCTTTCTATTTTTACAGGCTACAAAACTCTTAAAGGGATTCCTTCTGCTGTAATTTTTTTTTTCTCAAAGGGAGCAAGGCTCTTTTATTTTCAGAACATTATACAGAGATATTTTGCCATGCATGAAATTTTTATTCACTAAAGGTAATAATTTAAAAAAGAAAAAAGTTCTCTAAACATAAAATTAAATCATTCAAGTCAGTGAGAACATCAACAGGAGCTGGTTTATGTTGTTTATTAGAGAGATGCTGCTAATATCAAATGATCTGAAAAGATTCCACAGATAAAGGTTCCCTGAGCATAGAAATTTTAATTATAATTTTGCTGAAAATTGAATGCATTTAGATATACTTCCCAGTCCAGGTAATGATCCTGCTTCCCACAGGATACATTTAATCCATCAAGAGTACTCCAAAAACACTCTCAGAGTGCCTTTATTTGCCTGAGTCCATCTGGGAACTCCACATATGTTAGAAATAAGATTTGCAGTTAATTGGCAAAAGCTTAAAAGATTTGAGAAAGGTTCTTCTGCACAAGAGGACAGAATCCATGTCCATAGAAAGTCATATAGCACTCACAGATGAGTTCCGTCTTGAAGACAAGTTCCTGCTAACTATTTCCAGCAGAGCTGGAGCTGAAGCATCTTCTGCTGTCACATAATCACCCATTTCCCTGAAGCCTTTTGGGACAGAGACTGTTCCTCCTGCACATGGGGACATTCAAGAAATGCCACTGCCAAGGAACCTCTCACAGCAACCGAGTCACTTTTCTTACATAAATCTTCTAAACAAAACTAATTCTCTTAGTAAAATAACATTTACTGGAGCCACCAGCTTATGCCAGAGACAGCAGAAAGTTGCTAAACAACTCTAACCCAAGAGGATGTTTACAATTTAAGATTTGTTTAGCACTTATGGTATAATTTGTGCCATATGCTCTCTTATTTACAGTTTTCCCTGCAAAACATTTTTATTAGATGCGGAGCACAAGCAACTTTCTAGCTCTGTGCCTTCCCATGTATCATAGCTGTTCATCACAGCTGGGATTGTCCTCCTGTAGCAAACTGTAACCGAGCAACATGTCCCTAGAATTTTTTATCTGGTCTCTGGCAACAGAGAAAAGTTGCAGCTGATGAGTCTGAGTTACCGAAACCTGATCTGATAGAATGGAGCATGTAAGCAATTGGTTTTCTGGGAGAAATTTTGGGAGAAAACCTCCTTTGGAGACTGTTTCCAGCAGATAGCCTGGGGCACTCTGGAGTGAGTCTTTTAGTAAGAAGCAGCAAGCTTTGTGTTATTAATCCTACTGAAGCTGCAGCAGCAGTAGTACATTAGTGAGCATAAGTTGTCACAAACAGTCTAAAGTGAAGGGCTAAAACTGTCAGTCACCACAGAAGGGCTTTTACATTCCTCCTGGCCTCCTTGAGGGGATTCAGTGTCGATATTTTGACATATAGTGGAAAATCAGGGAGTAAGCCAGAAAGGGCTAGGGAAAGAAACATCTGGAATAACATAAATAAATGTCAGATTGACGAAGGAACTGCTTTTCTTGCATTTCTGAGTGAGATTTCACTCCTGCAATACAGTAAATAATTCACAATCCTTCTTGTGTCTGAGAAAGAGCGAAGTCTTTTCCTTTACTGACAGAGGTGTATTTCTGCTGGCCCTTTCTATTAGTTACTGTGTTTTCCTTTACTGACAGAGGTGTATTTCTGCTGACCCTTTCTATTAGTTACTGTGTTTTCAAGTGGTACCCATGCAGCATAAATAACTGGGGGAAGTGAGTGACTTCTAGTTTTTACACTAGTTGAATTTTTGATAGTAATCTAGTAGTATGTTTTCAAAATCATAGGTGAATAAGAGGGAAGCTGAGCCTTTGATTAACTGGAGGGAATAACAGGGCAGCAATTAGCTTTGAAAAGTCAACAGTGAATAAATTAGGCATACAATTCAGAACAAATAAACGCGGCAATATTCTGCTACTTTTCTAAAGTGGTTTTCAGGCTACCCCCATGGGGAGTGTTGATCATTGGATCAATTCCACTCAATGGAAAAAGTTTCTGTATAGCTCTGACTGTCTTAACATTTTACCTGGTGATGGTTTTTCATCCAGTGAGTAAAGAAGTGGCACTTGTGATGGCCAGACTTACAATGTTCCATTTGATGTTTCTGTTTACACTTTTCCTGAACTTGCTATTGCTGTTTATATATCATGTCTATGTTCAGAGCCTGCTTCCTCTGCACCATTATCACTCAGAAAGAAATAGGAGGCTGTTAGGAATGTTATTGCTTTTTTCAAGTGTCACTGACCATAGTCAGTAGGCAAGAAATAGCACCTTCACTCTCCAGTAAAATGAAGTCAATGGGGCTCGGCTCAAAGCAGAGTGCAGAAGCAAACTTGATAGCTGTCACTCCTTTTAATTTTATCTCAGCCTATTCTTAAATCTCTAGCAAGTGTATATACATTTTTTGAGGATCTTCACTAAAAATAGATCAAAGGTGCTAATTTGGCTGTAAACATAATACATCTGGCATCTTTGAAGTAAGCTGTTTCACGATTTCACTGAAATCAAAACAGCTCACTAACTGTTAATTGAGCATCCTCATCTGGTGGGCCACAGCCTATAGAAATAAAACTGTAAATAGTAAAGTGAAGGAAACATAAAAGAGTTTCTTTTGATCTGGACTTTCTCCCTGTCAGAATGAGATCACAAATGCTTCATTATGTTTTATAGACTGATGGAAGTTCAAAGCTAACACTAGACAGAAATTGGTTGTCATTACTTGATTAAATGTAGATCATTCAGTCAGATATGGTTATTGGTTATGGTAATTCCTGCAAGAGTGCATCCATGAATAAAACTAGTAAGTATAGTAATCATACACAGTCACAAAAATGTTTAGTCTGTTCTTGGAGCACCATTGCTATTGATGAAAATAAAATTCAGCATTTTACTATGGAATGCCAGAAATAAAATAGAAGTAAGATGCTGGGGACATTTAAAAAGATGCAAGTTTCATCTAATATGGAGCTGTCCCTAGCTGATAGCCAAAGGACCAAGGATATGCCTCTACTGACTGAGGGTAGCAACAAAAGCCCGTTATTGACTGTATTTTCGGTCAAACATCTCTGCAAAAGCTACCTGCAGAAAGGAGCTGGGGATTCAGGAGCAAATGACTATGGGTGAGGCAGACTGTCGAGCTGTGTAGAAAGCAGTAGCTTTTATGAGCAATTCCATGACAAACAAAACATTCAGGGATGAGAGTAACAAACCAGCAGCCACAGGGATGTAGGTTCATTCCTAGTCTGTTGTATTTCTGCTTTTGGACAGCTAGAGGTACATTTTGAAGAGAACTACTGGCACAAGCACACAGCTGAAGAGAGCATAGAAATCATTCCCAAGGTTGTATTGAATGACAATATTTTTTTTAAAAGAAAAGTTATACCAACATTTTCCAAGGTATAAACTGGATCTTGTGTGTGTGCATTACATGTCCACTGAGCGCCTAACACATGGCTGTGATTGAAAAATGTAAAAATTCCTCAAAATTTGGGTTTTCTTGGGGATGGGAAGAAAGAAACCAAGGTTCTAGGTTTAGCCAAGTGTATTTATTTTTGAGGGCTGATTTTGTATCCAGTATTTATTTTTGAGGCTGGTTCCTGGTCTTACTGACTGCAATGAAACTCCTTGTCAACAAAACAGTACAGAGATACATCTGCTTTGTCTGGTTTACTCTGCTTCACAAGCTCTCCAGCTCTGAAAGTCTATTTGAAACTATGAGGAAGGCAAAGAAGCTCTTCAGATTGAAGCAAACTGTCCTTCCTTGAGGAAAACTTCCCAACCACCACTGATGATGCAAGGGACAGAATATCCTGTGCCAAATAAGAGCAAAGGGCTGCTCAGACTGTTCCAGATCTACGTGATCCTCAAGGCAGGAAGAGCGACTTGGGGTTTTTTGTTTACCATGGCTGGCTGTGCCTGGGACACAGAAGATGTCTTTGGTGGGACAGAACAGTTTCTCAAGGGTAAAACAGAGTTCACTAGGAATATGAGTGTTCATATCTCTCACCAGCACTTTTACTGGATCTACTTCAGTAGTTTGACAAGTGGGCATTTGGTCTTCTGCAGGATTTTCTGTTCTTTTTGCATCCCTGTAGTCCCTTTTTTTCCAGTTTGATGCCCTAGTAGGAAAAACACAGGAGATGACATATGCCTGAGCTGCTAACATTGAAAGGTGCATTAGACGCAATTTTACAAAAATTAGGGTCTGTTCACTGCAAGCACAATTTTACGAGAGTTTCTTTGTCCAACATATGAACCATAGATAGTCTCAAAGCATATAGAGGCAAATGAGCAAAGTCTGATGTACAATCAGTATTTAGGAACAATAAAGCGGAATAAAAAAAGGTAATTTCTTCCAGGGTATTGCCCATGAATCTGGGTGCCTTACATAAAGTTTTATGGTTTGACACATGAGTAGAACTTTCACCTGATTTTACTAATTTCAATCATTACCTCCTTTCTTTTATAAGATCAATATACTCAATAAGAAGAGGGGTTTCACCTAATGAGGGCAATATAATTGAAAGGCTATTCAACATCCTTTTTCTTGAACAAACGTTCCAAAGAGTCAATCTCAACTTATTATTTGGTTTCACAGAGTTTAATGTTAAGAACTACAGCCCCCCCGATTATTTATTTAAAGGAATCCAAATATAGCTTCTTTCAATGCTTTAGTACCTAGAGAATAAAACAGCTGTCAGCAATCTGTTCTTCTGAGAGGCGTTCATATGAGCACTAAGTCTGTTGTTTCTAATTTCAAAAATACCATAGTCAATAGTCAACCGCAGACAGGTGTGCAGTCCAAATATAAATTTTGTATTTGCCAGTACATATGCACATTAAATATGAAGATTGTAATACTAAATTTTACACAGTGGAACAGTAAGAACTCTAAAATTAATATCAAATGCCTTGACACTGTCAGATGGTTACCAGGTGCCTTACACCATGAATTTCACATTATTAGGACACGATTTGTGGTACAATATGTCATTGAAATTGCCAAATTCAGGCGCTGAATTATGTAGGGTAAAATTTCTCATGATGGACAGATTTAAGTGGCTTAATGCATTGAAGTTATTTTTGTCCCATGGGCTCTGTGAGCCATAATATAGACATTTTGAAGTGGGTAAGCTAAGGATCACTGAACAAGGTCACCTGTTAAAGTGGTGTGACCCCACTGTTTGTGGCCAGATTGAATAGATTCACAATTGTCTATAGTTCTGAATAAAACAAAGTCCCAGCTTCAGATTTTACTTTGCATACAGTGAGTAAAAAAGTATATGATATACTCCTGGCCATGCTGATATCACTGGCAAAATTCCTATGGAGTTTTAAAAAAACTCTGACCACTGACTCTAAAAGGTACTATTATATTATCAAAAAATGAATTAGATAGAGACTGAGCATAGAAATAGGAGTTACTTCATTTAGTATAACACATTGTGTGAATTAAAACTTACTTTTTGTCTTTGTTTCTTCTCAACTAAGAACAGCAACATGTCTGAGGATGTGTGGAAGAACTTGCATAGAACCTCAAAATAAAGATGCTGAAGTTCCCATGGAGTTTCTTTTCCCATGAAACAGTGCACAAATATTATTTTTAAAAAAGGAAGGGAGACGAAGTTGAGGAATGAAACCAAGCATTCTAAGGTATTCCTGTACGAGAGTCCTATTTCATTTATCCAGGAATAGTGGGCATGCTGGAGAAAAGGAGCATATTTCAACATGAGGGCACAATAGCTGCAACCATGAACATTCACACTCTCACTTTGCTCACAACTCCCTTTTTTTGCAAGCTTGTGTGCATGCCTGGAATGTGTTATATGCCCACACATTTCTTATACAAATGTGGGACTGGAAATTGTCACCACGTGTGCCTCCATCTCTAAGCACTGGAAACACACTCTCTGCTGCAGTGGCTGGGAGCACCTTCAGTGAACAACCAGGACACCATCAAAAGCCATTGAAGGGGCAGAATAAACAGAGTAGTGTAGTGATAGCATTTTATTGCTTTGAAGGAAATGTCTGAGGCTGGTAGTGACCCAAAAAGCCTCTTTAATTGGCCTACGGCTTTTTATTTAATAAAGTTTTGATAAGCCCAAGTTGATCTTGAGTAATGTATTGGTATGGAAACAATCTAGTTCAAAGGACGATTAATCCGTTCCAGTGTGATAAATGTTAAGCAAGGATAATTAATTCCAGATTTTTACATTCAAGAACTTAAGCTTCTTCATGGCTAATCAAATACATGAAATGGTAAGATAATGCAGAAAGTCTGATTGCATCTCACATACCCCACCAGAAGCCTCATCTGTCAAAAAAGAAATAATCTCATTCTCGGAGCAACCTGACAGTGCAGTCAGATATTGCACCTAGAACTATCCATTTCACATCTAGCCATCCATCCAAAACATAGTGGTTGGGCATTCATCTTGGAAGGATATCTGTAATCCACATGCTCTTTCACATGACTTTGCCAATGTATACGAGTGTTCATTTTGATCTGCTGTTGGAAGTACTCAATTTATATCATCCTAGATCAAAGTGGATGTCAAATCACTAAAATCTGGAATCAAATCTGGCAACCTTGAACATACCTTTAAATAATTTGACCACATGTAGTGTACAGTTCTCAGATGCATCTCCATATTTTGGGAAGTGAAGTCTGACATGTAAAATGAAGTATGAGATTCACTACTAGAAATTGATATTTATCCAGGAGGTAATAGTTACCATAAAGCACACTTTTCCCCTATTTGAGTAAATGATACTGTGAGACTAATAAGACTTCAAAACATAAGTTTTTGCCAAAAAAAAAGGAAAACCCAGTAAATTTAGGATGTTTCTGAATAAATAAGGAGATTGGTAGAGAACAGTTTGAAGGGGGGCAGTTGCTATTGTAATCTTCCTGTAAGATTTGGGCTACTTGTGCTAGAGGCAAATAGGAAAATTATCACCAGAGAATAATTACTGAGTTCACACTGACACCTTTTTGGCATGATTGCCATGTTTCTGGTACTTGATTGGCCAAATTACAGCTGTCATTGCAATGTGCCATTTTTGAAGAAAATGAAATGGTTATTCAAAACAAAGTCTTCACTGTTGAGTTGTATAATCCTCATGAAGTACATCATCTGGAGTTTCTGAAACTTCCACAGCTGAAGTGAATACCAAGATGCAAAGCAAAGACAAAATGGAAATGAGTAACAAGTCTTGGGGCTAAATTATGTCTTCACTTGGACTGTTGCAGCTGCAGTGAATAGAAAACTCAGGCATTAGGCTAATGCGTGCAAATGTATCTCCAACATAATTATGATCTGACTTCCAAAATAGGTTTTAGAAAATTATAAAAAACTATGTTTGTTTCTACCTGGAAAAAAGTTTGAAGGAAAGAAGTCACTTAAAGAGTTGCAATGTTGTTCAAAGAAAGGACAAGCACATCACCTAGGTGTCCTTTTGAAACTGTGGAGTGTGATTGAACCAAGTAATGAGAGTTTGCCAAAAAGCACAATAAGATAGGATGCTTAGAGGGATTGTGAAAAATCATTCTTGGGCACTTGAAAATTTTCTACTTTGTTTGACTGTTCAAAAGACACCTTCACAGAAAGAGACACAATTTTTCATTATGAGACACTGAAAAGTGCTCCAAAATGGGCAGAAGTGGACAGACGGAACAAAGTTCCTATTTTAACACAGAATTGTAGTTCATTAAAAACAGTGAGAAGACAGAAGAGAAATTAAAAACTTGACATTCACCATTCTAAGCCAGATATAATGCCAAGAACTGAAAAATTATTAGATTACTAGAAAGAAACAAGACTAATTTTATGAAACTTTTCCTATTTCCAGACATTAGTTTGGTGATTGAGGCCAGAAGAGCTGAAACCTAGCAAGCAGCATTTTACAAAAAACAAGAACTGAAGCTGATACCACTGTTCCCAGTACCCCTAGCAGATGTGAGTTGCTTAAACACTAAGTTTGGGAGTTTGGAACCATGTCAAGAATGCCATCAATAAGCAGCCCCTAGCAGGATTCAAAGGATATCTTCTGCTATGCAGCAGCATGGAGTTTCTGTTTCTGTTATTGGGATTTATTTCACTCTGTGGAGCTTCTTTTTGTTTCCAATGTTTGGATGATGGGTCTACTAGAAACATGTCATCAGAAGACAACCACATTTCCCCTCCATTATTATATGTACACACCAAAAAAAAAATCAGCAAGACTGCCACCTCTGAATGCTCCTGTTTGGGGAAATCTCCCGAGAAATACAAGCATACAAAGAAATATTTAAATGTCTATTTCTGCATCCCATGTGCTTCAGAATATGTCAGAGCCTGAGTATAACTGCAGTGGGTTACTAAGGGTTGGAATAACATCAGTAAATGTCAGAACAATAATTGGACACTTAGAGAACTTGAGCTCCACTTTTGTCTGTAGAGACATCATAAGATTATATCTCTTCATAAATATCCATGTGAAATTTCTCCTAAACCACAATCTTAATAAAACAACTTAATAAAAATAGGAAATTTATTTGAAACGGAAAAACCCTGATTTTTTCTTTTTTGCACTCTGGCAAAGGATTTGCACAAATGCTTGAAAGTTCCTAGGTTTGGCTCTTTCTTCAGATTTCTCCAGATTTTTTCCCCTAGAAAGAGAATGAAATGTTAATACAAAACAGTTTGAGTTTTGCATCATATTAATATACTGATTTTCTCAATAAGAGAGAAGAAGAGGAAACCTTACTGTGAAGGAACAGGCAATGTCCTGAGGACAACCTGAAATGCCAACTTAGCATTTTTGCACTTCAAAAATATCTTTGACGTTTATAAACATCTATGATGGTAAGATTGAGGCTGTTAAAAATACATGGTTTACTTCAGTAGTTTATAATTCACAGTGGCATTTAGTGGGTGGAGTTGTAAATTAGTAAGTGGACTGCTGCCACAGCAGAGCAGGCTGCTGCTCTGCAAAGGAGAATCTTTGCTAAGAATAGGAATGTGGTCACGATGATAATGAACAAGGGCTCAGCCTGCCTGAAACATTGATGGGAGATCAGAAGATTGTTGTTGGATGTGTAACAGCTGCTCTAGAAATTAGATGTTATCAAAGATTTGTTTGAAAGATTGAATTGGATGAAAGGCATGCAAAGCTTAACCAGAAAGACCTGGTTTCAATTTTTAGTAGCACCACCTAAAGGCAGGGTAGCAAATGAAATATTTATGTTGTGGATAAATTGGAAGGTACAGTTTTACAGTCAACAAAATGCTATGTTTATTCTGCTGCAAGAGGAAGGTAAAATTGCAGCAGTCTTTACACATAAAAACATCTTTTTCCCTTTCGCTTTTAAATGAAGTAGATTAATCTGCCATGAAAGCATTATAATATGTTAATCAAGTATTTGATCTGGTATGTCAAACACTCAAACAAAAAAGTCAGCTACTTCCTGGAAACAATATTAATGTCCTCAATAAACTCAGCATTTTAAAGAGATTTCCTGGAGCAGAGAGAGGGGGATGAAGACAGGGAGCACTTATGACTAGGGTGATTTGCTTTTGGACTGTTAGTTGTAAAAAGCCTTATCCCAAGGTTGCAAGCCAACAGCATTATATCAGAAATCCTGAGTGAAGGGTGCAGATAGATAGATGTGGATGGCAAGGTGAAAAACGCACCACCTTCAAACTTTTGGACACTTTATTTACTGAGAGCTGCTACGGGATTGCTGTTCAGCCAGAAGTGGAACAGAAAATATTCTGACCCCAAATGCATAACAGACTGACCTGCATGACTGCAATAATTTCATGGTTTTGACAATCAGCAGACATCAACACAGTGCTCTCACTTTTCTGGCCTTAAGAACCATGCTTGAGCTATATAAGCCTTAAAGCGATCCACAGGAAACTTTCACTGAAAAAGCAAAAAAAAATCTGTATGAAATCATGGTGTCTACTTCACACCCTGCACAACCCTTTCCTATGGGGCCCTGCTTTGATCCCTGTTTGTGCTGGCCAGCTCTCAGCCCCCCAGCGCACTAAGGGATGCACACAGATGTTACGCTGCTGAACAGTTTGTCAGCAGAGTAAAACAGGTCCCTTATTCTCTAGAAAAATGAACAACGAAGTGATTTTGTCACAAAAAGTTTAATCTGGCTCTTTTCTGAGTCAGGACACTGGACGTTATCATAGTAGAAGACATTTTGAGCTGCATGATAACAGTCCCTCCTTAAACTTCTCCCGGATATCCAAGTGTTGATTTCATTCACCATTAGACAGACAAAAGAACTTCTCAAAAGGCGAGGTGTGCTAGTAACCTATCACACTCCACTGAGGACTTGTCCATATGGTGCTCAGTGATTACTGTGTGTCTATTCTGTAAAGATATCCCTTAAGCTGACACATGTCTAGCACAAAATTATTGAGTATCTGTGCTCCTACTGGAAAGACTCCATCTTACAGTAGAATTTATAGCAGTTTTTGTGTCATAGACAGGAAACAGAAAAGAAGAAGTTCTTCTATCAACCTTAAACTACTAATAAGCTACTTTGTAGACAGGATTAAAGTGGGTGGGGTCCCAAGTAGCCCTAAGACTTATGCTTCTTGGTTTAAATTCTATGTTCCCATACATTAACACATCTAAAGCATATTGCAGACTGCAGCAGGGAGTAGAGAGCCCAGGTCAGCTCTTTAAGATCTGACAGTTTCAGGACTCTACATGCCTACAATTTAACCTAATTAAAGCTCTGAAATTGTAATTTTTTAATAATAAAACTAGAAAAAGTTTTATTATTACAAAAGAAGTTTCATAGAAATAACATAAAGAATAAAGAAATAAACCACAATAGCTTTTTTTCTCTAGATGAGCTAAAGATTTTTAAAATGCAAACACCATGATCAGCTAACACCAATTCAAAAAGAAACTGAGAAAAATCTAGTGATCTTTGTGACTAGCAGCTCTATTTCTACCATGCAAAAAAACCCCAAACAAACAAATAAATAAACAAAAGGGTAATGGAGAGCCATAAAAAACAAACAGCAGAAACTAAAAATGAAAAAACTAATTTCCTGAATAGCAAAAGATAGGCTGAAATGAAGTTACTGTACATCGCTGTATCATGTAGCAATGAAAAGGGTTCAGTTTTTCATGATGACCTTTTGAAAACCAGTCATAGACTGGATTGAACCATTTATTTCCAAAATCTTTCCTTCATACATGATGATTTTCAAAAATGTTTTGATATTTTATAAGTAGCACAAGCAGAACTAAATGAACACAAATATTTCTGTGTGTGTGTAATGCAACTCCCCTCTCCACATTTAACAGAAATATTTTTTACTAGCATGTCATATATAAAAATTATAATTTTATTTTTAAAAAGTGCACACAAGCAGATCATTAATACGTTAGTATTTGTTAGGATGGATAAGCTTTTGCAAAAGACAGAAAAGAAAAAACATCAATGTTCAACACATTACGAATAACTAAAAATGAAATAGAACAGGTATTGTCCATGCATGAACTAACTTATGTTTTCTATCAAAAAATATGAATTATTAATTAGACGTTGTAAATTACATATATTTAACTGAATGCACTACTTTTCCAAAAACATATCACGGCGTATATCTATAAAACCAAGTAGAATTTAGAATTAAAACCACAATCAGAACTGGTTTCTGTATTATCCCTATATCAGTTGAATATTTACATGTGTTTAACCTGAGGCACAACTCAGTCTTACTCAATTGCAGCTCTTGAGCTCAAACACAAATACTTAAATATCTTACTGGACCTGTGTCACCATGAAAGGGTATATCAGCACAATCAGAGCTTAAACTATATATGCATCTAAAATACTTTCCTACTTATATTTGCAAAATATTACTTCAGTATATTCCTGAGCATTATGGAATGTAGGGCAAAAAAGGCTGGACAGGACAGCCTTGTGGTGGCAACTCTCCCATGCAGTGCAGCAGTTCATGACATTGGTGCTAAACTACAAGGAAAAGAAAGAAAGGGAACATAATGCTCTAAATTTTTGCCTGTCTTAATAGATTAGATGTCATTTTCTCAGGCAACTAGGTTTCTACAGTAACAGAAGTGTAATGACTGGTAAACACTATATAATTCTGGATATTTAAAATATGGGTGTTTTCTTCCTCCATGTGATTTGAAAGATAGCCTGTGATCACCTGCATTTACTATGGACTAAAAGGCCACATGTAAGATTTTACAGCACAGAATCTAACATAAGATAGTAAATTCACAGATCAATGTACAACTTTGTGTGCATATCCCACACTTACACTCCTGCCACTGCTGTCATGCAATCTGCCTTTTCACTTCTGTGCCACCAATAGTATAATTGTTTATATCAGTAATACCAAGTCCAGTTCCTATATGACCAGCCAGTAGGACATGCAGTAATGACTGACCTGCTTCTCCCTGCCCACAACAGACATTTTCCTAGGGAAGAACTAACATTAGAGTACTCAATCCTGCAAAATACTGTAAGACTGCAACAAGCTTTTCTTCCAGCTTTTCCTTAGAGCCAAATCTTGAAAAGTTTCTTCACTTTAAAGTAGGTTAAAGAGTTCAGCCAAACATTGTTATGTATGCAGCTTTCAAAAACTGCACATAATTCTGGATGCTCTGGTTCTTGTTCTCTGACTTCTGCAGGCTGTTCTCCAGCTCTTTCAAACATATTTCATGGTGCTTTTCATTCTGGTAAAAAAGGAGAAATACAAAGCAACTTAGAAATAAAATGTAAATTAATCAAAATAATAATCTAAGACAACTGGTACTTAATTTTTATAGCCTTACTTACTTGTAGAAGTTTTCAGAGGTTCTGCAAAACTAAAGGTGATAAAAAAAGCCTCAAAATATTGAAGCTTTTATTTGTGTTAAGTAAGGAGCAAACTGAACATGTTTGAATAGCCTTGTAATCCAAAAAGGCCTTGGAACATAAAAACTATCTTTCTGAATTTTTATCATTAAAGATTCCTAGCATCTCAAAACTATTATGGACATCTGTTAAGTCAATGGGAGATGGTAATGTACAAAGTATGTTGTCAAGTTGAATTAATTTGTTGTTCTGAAAAGAGTGTATCAATTGTACTACTAGTGTGTTTTCAGTTAAAGGAACTTCTGTAAATGGTGATGTGGTAAGTAATTTCTTAAGTGACAAACAGTATTATTTACTCACATGGTGAAATATGCAGAGGAGTTGGTTTTTTTCTTCTTTCCCCTCTCTCACTTCAGTTTCAAGAACTAGCAGCTTTGTCTGAAAGGCTTGTTCTTTGTATAACATTTTTTCCTGTTCTTCAGCTACCTATAAAAGTAATGAGAGAGAAATTATATATATTTACTCTTTCTTAAAGCCCAAATTAAATTATTTTCTTATATAGCATTAATAGCTCTATTTCATCTAATACTTTACTTGTTTCCCATGCACAGAAATTAAATAAACCTGAGAAATATTCTGGTTAAATTTGAAAGCTGTTTCGATTTGAAAAAAAATGCAATATTATTGGGAGGGGAACCCGTTTTAAACTCATTTTTAAGTTAAGCCAAACTCGTAGTTCTTTCAAAACCAAATAAATATCTTCAGAGTATTGAAAAAAATCAGACAGTTTATTTCAACATGATTAATATGAAATTACAACTTCATACATACTTTCTGACTAAACTAATATAATTCACTGCAATGTAAATTTCCACACTTCCTCTTGCATTTGGTTTACTGTTTGCATCCTTTCTACAAATGACAAAACTGAACTTAATATTGAAAGCATGCAAATTCTTCCTTTAAAAAGAGAAGGATTTCAATATCAAAGTTCTTGTGGGCTTCCTATTCCAAAGAAAATAAAAGGCAAGATTAAGCTTATCTTGTCCCATCATTTTTTCTCAAACACATTTGTTTTTAATGCTGTTTTTAAATAGAAAGTGGCAAACAAGATTGAGAGATGTATTAAATCACCAATACCATTTTTCTCCCTTTTTCCAAAGCAGATTCAAGTTGTCTGGTTAATGCATTATATTCTGCAATTTTCTCTTCAAGCTTCAATTTACTGCACTGAAGACTCTGATCTTGTGTTCTGAGCTGACAAGCAAGTTCTTCATTCTGAAATTCCATCTTTCCCAATTGCCTTCACACAAAACAGATTAGTGCATTATAATTCACTATAACAGAAAAGTGTAGGAATTAATTTCAATCAGATTTTTTAAAGGTTACCTTTTAAGAGCTTCATATTTCCTCTGAATGTTACAGTTCTCTTCTTCTAAGGAAAGACTGCCCATAGAAGTTACACTATTGCTATCCTGTGAAAAGGATAATTTGTTTCTAGTTGAAGAGACCTATTTGCAGGATCTCGCTAGACTAAAGTAAGCTTGCCTATTAAAATCCAATCAAAAAATTTAACTGTAATTTCAGATAAATGTTATACTATATTCAGATAAATGCCATATTATATTCAAGTAAATATTATCTTGTATTTAAAACAAATAAAGTACAGCCTAAGTAGTATACTAAAAGTTTGTGTGAACACATTAAGATTGAAAACCTGCTATGTAACAAAATGAAATCCTGAAAAATTTCATATGCTGCTCATGCAGCCTTATGTATTAGGAGTTGGTCAGGTCTACCTCCCAGCAAAAAAAAGCTCCCTCACACTAGAGTCACAGAAAACATAAAAATAATACTGCATATATATGTATGGTTATTGCAGAAAAACAATATAGCACGGGCAAAGAATTTTGGAAAGAAGTGATTATCAAAAAAGACAACCAGGTTCATGAAAGGAGGTATATCAGCAGCAGAAGCTGAAAAAAGAAAGAAGTCAAACTATTTTCCCTTGCCCAGTATGCAGAGGGCTAAACTTTTACATGTTTTCTTTTAAATCTCAGAACATCTCATTAGGATGAGATTATTGCTCTTGCTACCCCCCCATCAGCAGATTAACAATAAACAGCCACACCAAGAGCCTTCTGGCGCCATTATTTAAAGGTACAGCCACCATCATTCACTGGATTACCTCAAGCACTCCCATCCAACAACTTGAGCTACTCTGCCTGATTTTGTTTGTGTGAATCACAAGCTGTTCAGCTGGCAGACTGGTAGTAGCAGAAACCAGTTCCCCTGAAACTCAGAAGAGTGTTTCTGTACATGGTGCAATTGCTTCAAAAGGAATTTTCCTAAATTCTGGTCATAGGCTCAAGAGTCAGAATCTCTAAAGGACATCACCAAGACCTAATGCTGAAATTTAATTACTGTTCCACCAACTAGTGATTATATGTCCAATTACTTCACTATACTTAAGAGGTTCTTTTGCACTTTTTCAGGAAAATGTACTTAGATTGAAACTACATACATCATTTTACATGATGTATTAATTTTGCACCCCAAAATTAATTGTTGCCTAAGTACTTCGCTAAGCAATTATGGATTTATAAGTTTATGAGCAGTCCCAGAAGAATTATTTAAAATGAGGCAAACAAGAACCAAAGTTGATGTTATAAAGATCATCTTGACATTAAATTTAAAACAAAATCAAGAGCTATGATTTTTATAAACATATGAAGTCTACAGGAACACAGAGGCTCACTGTGCTTCAGCTGAAGTTTTCCCACTGATACAGGAAGAAGGTTAAGCCCCTTTCCCATCCTACTGATTCAAAAACCTTTGTTATTTGTGTTAGCAGAGTATCCTCGTCTAACTCAAAAGCTCATTAAAAAAACCCAAACAAACAAAAAATCACACACAAAAGAGAATAAGAAAAAACCCTAAACTTACCCTACCATTGAAACTGATGTCACAGAAAAGAAAAGCTGAAGAAAATTCATACTCAGACTTTGGAGAAAATACAAGCATTAGTATTAAATACAGTCAAAAATAGAAATTATCCTATGAAAGCATGTTTTAAAAATATTTAATCAACTAAAATAATGTAATAATTAAAGTACTCTACATCAACAATGTAATTTATCAGATTAAATATTGTATGGTTTATGAATTAGTCATTAAAAACAAAGGTAGAATTAAATTATTTCACTATACACAAACAATAACTAGACTTGCACATTTATTTCCAGAGAAGAATTCTTCAATGCATCTCAGGACATAAACATTCAAAAAGATCAAGAATATGCTCACTCTGAAAGTAACTACTCTTAAACAAATTCACATGAATACCGTCGGCAACAGTTTTATTTGCATTGTGTTATTTCTACAGAAGAAGCTTTTGATTTAAGAAGCAAATGATAAAGGAAACTGACAACTGTCACATGCTAACAGGAAAAAAAGTCCCAGAGACTTTTTCCACGTAATTTTCTCATTTATCTTTAAAAATCAGCATGTTCTAACCACCTGAACCTGCAGCTTCCTAAGGGTTTTGCATTTCTGTGCATGGATCCTTTCTCAGAACATAAGCGTTTGCTGCTTTTCCTCAGCTGCTTTCAGCAAGTCACAAACGTGTTCTAACTCCTTTAACTCAGCCTCCGTTTTGTCCCTCACCTGCATAGTAGCATCACAGGAGAAAAATGTAAGTGTAAAACCACAAATTTATTGTTGTATTACTTTATGGATTTCCATGTAAGTAATAAAGCTGAAATTCTACACAAATTGTATAATATCACCTGTTTTATAAAATACTGACAAAGATACAAGTTAACCATTGGAGAAATTCCCATCCCTCACTACATTTCCTTAAAGACTCAGTAACACTCACAGTGAACAAAATTATGCAAGTCTTAGCAGTTCATCATGAAATACCCAAAGCTGGATTTTATTTTTTAGCAATACATTTTGGGAGATGGCATACAGACACACTAAGTAGCTTACAGAAAAAATTCTGACCATACAACAGTTGTAGTATTTGAAAAGAAAGCAGCACCTCATGGCATCTGAAGCCACATACAGTGGTGTGTAAATATTATTTGTGAGACAGGAAAATATTTTTCTGCATTCTAAATTTCCATCGTGGAAAGATAAAGTTAGTATGAAATAAAATGAACACCTAAGATCCTTCTCTGTGAGGACTAATTCTGTACTCTGAAACAGAACATTGCAGGCAAAGCCTGCCCCTGTCTCAGCTTTATTGCTTAAAAGAATATGTATTTTTATAAGTCATAGAACTGTGGAAAGTGATTTTCATACCAATTTTGTATCTTTTTCAGATGTTTAATAATGTAGTAACTGTGTTCCAGTATTTAGCTCCATCTGCTGAAAAACTTAAAACTCATCTCTGTATTAATTCTCAGTTTTAACAGCTAAAAAAAAAAAAAAGGCAGCCTTACACTAGGTTTGCTTCCATATGGAACTTTCACAGCTGTTCTGTTGAGAAGTCTAGTTTCAAAATCACCAACAACAAATCACATTTTTGAGAGTGATAAAAGAATGCTGGAATTCTGAAATAGCAGCCCAACTCCTTAGTCACTGCTCCAGGAAACATTTCTCCCCTGTTTGCAATTGTGTGGTATCCAAAAAACCACCAGCTCCAGAGAGCAGTTAGTAAAATTCTCTTGTTTAAAAACAGGAGATAGTACCTTGTGACTTCTAATAAGTGGATTACAATAATGTAGGAAAGATCAGTGTCCTACAGAATTGTATGGAAACGCTTTATTACTGTAAAACTTACCTTATCTTCTTCCAAGCATTTGTTTTCTATTATTTTTTTGTTTTCATTTAAGACTCTTTCATACCTGGATTTCAATTCCTCTGCTGCTATTTGTAGCTTTTGTACCTAGGACAACGTATATTTTTCTCATATATTTGCAAGGTCTTTCTTTTAAATGCAGAAAAGATAGAATCATTAGTATGAAGTGTAAAGGAAAACTTTTGATTTCTAAATAGTATCTTAATATTTGTCATTAGTTGAAGTTATTTATTTTCATTATCCTACTCACCACAGCAAGTATAAAAGGGTAATCAGGCAAAGAGCACTGTCGTATCAATGTTGTGTTATCAACAATAGAGAATGAGCTACAGTTGTGCTGCAGAAGCAGCCAGCACGACTCACATTTCTCTCCCCAGATAACAAGTATCATCAACACTTCCACCTGGAGTCACTACAGTTATGAGCGAGGGAATTTCATTTCACTCACTGCTTAAGACTGGCTGCTACATGGAACTACATCTCCCATCTTAAAGCTGGCAACAACTTTAATTATGATGATGCATTTCACAGACAAGGTTCACTGGCTGTACTTAGATTTTGTATCATCTCTTTTCCCTTGTTGATGATTTTAAAAAAGAAATATATGAAGAATGACAGTGAAATGATACCTATAAAATAGCAGGAATATATTTGAAATATATTTGAAATATATACATATTTCTCTGTGAATAAAGCCAAATAAAAAAAAAGGAATAGATAAAAAGCCCATTTTAAGTTTGGTTTATTTGTTTTGCTGATATTTTCAATGTGGATTTACCTATTTTAAAAAAAAGGCTCACAAAATATATATTTCTTGAATGAACTTGAATTTCTTGAACTTAATTGAATACTGGTATACTGATAAAGATATGACCCAGTAGAGGTAAAATATCATTGGATATGTCCACTGAAGACATCAGATTCAAACTTAACTTTTAAAATATACAGTTTACTGGGTTGCTAACCTGCTTTTTAGGAAGTAGATCTTCTCTAAGCAGTATGCAATTAGCTCTGTTGGCTTAAATGAGCTTTCACTGGGCTTCACACAGTTCAGTAAGGATTACGTGTACTAGTAATAGTGTGGGGACTACTCTTTGATGTGGTTTGTAATAGCACTCTCTTCTATCATACTCAATGTTACAACAATAATACAATCACCATGACAACAAATCTGCTCTATTACAAACAAAACCTTTATTATTTCCTCAAAACTGCTATAAATTTAAAAAAACACACTTGAAGATTTCAAACATGCTAGTCACCTCATTTTTATGCTGTTCAACAAGATTTTCCTTCAGCTTTGCCTTTTCCTGCAGATGTAGCAGCTCATGCTCAACAGAAACAGTACTTTTCTCCAATGTAGCAATGGAAGCCTTGATTAAAACATAGAAAATATAAAAATTTCAATAGTGTTATTAAAATAACAGTATACAATGTGATTTTACTAGCGAGTGACCTGCAGGCATTAGAGTGACACCATTATTTATCCTGTCAAACAAAAATGGTAGCCCACAGTTCATTTGTCAGTTAACAAGAACATTTACCTTGGAGGATAAATTCAATGCAAAACTTGTCAACTCTTTAGAAGTTGAAATTAATAATTAAGGTAAACTCAGTTCTTTAATTTGAAAGAAATTTTACAAACTCATACTTCATATGAGTACATTAAGATTTGATTGCATAGTTTGAATAAGGTTTAATAACTTTGTGCTGCTTTTCCTTACATGAATAAAAGTACAATTTCTAATTAAGCAATTGTGTAGCTACTGACAGTAAAATAAATAGCATCCTTATTATGCAGATGGATCATCAGACAACCCCGTTCCTTGCTTTGCCATAAATTACCACTGAAATATTTTCAATGTCTCATTTACACTTACTATAAAAAATGGATGACAAAATTTATTCTGCAGGTTTGGGATCTCTACACAGAAGGTCCAGAGGGAATTAACGTGGTTAGTTCATTATGTATCAGAAATGTAGAGCCATTCAACAATGATTTCTAATGGTCTCACCTTTAATTTTTCATTTTCAAGGTAAATCTTTTCATTTTCAGAGTTACCAGAATTTAGCTTTCTGAGAATTTCCTCCTCTGAGTTTCTTCTCCATTCCTTCCTTCTTTCCAATTCTTCCAACAGGCTTGTGATCTGACTTATTAAACAGGCAAGAACTTCTGTATAATATACAATGTTTCCAAAACTCTCACTATGAAAATCATCTTGAACCTCAACACATTCTCCTTCACTGCTTTTATTTTATATATATATATATAACATATATATATATATAAAGGAGAGAATGCATTTAAGTATTTGAAGAAAGGAGTATCTACTAAAATAAGAAATTCCCCAAAGGAAGACAGTTTCTACTCCAAGGAAGTTGTCCTAGTTCAATTATAAATGAATTAATTACATAGAACACCCTGCCTCATGGGCAGCTCCAGAGCAGCTGTCAATCAAAAGGTCAGTCTGGAAGCACACCCACACCACACCCTCTGGAATCCCTACCCCAGCCTCTGACTGGCTACACCACCCCTCACTCCGGCCTGGAGCCCCAGAGTGGCCAGTGAGCTGGAAGTCCTGCCTGGAAGGGGGTGGCCACAGGGGCCAGAACACAGAAATACAGCAGTACATGGTTTCTGTTTCTCTGTCCTGGGCCCAACCTCCACCATATGAAGCTCCACTTCCATAGGACTCTCTGACAGTAGCTGTTTTTCTCTCATTCTTCTCTTAATTTCTTTTCTCTCTTTTTCTTTCTTTACTGCTTTCTTAATATTTTGGGTAACTTAAAAGCACTGGGTTGGATTTTGCTAGGTTGTGTGGGTTAGCAAGTGCCAAGTCATAGCTTTGGTGGAATGCTTTTTTTTGGTTGTATGTTACCCCTTTTGCCAAGATCCGTATTTTCACCCATATTTATCAGTAAAAGTGTCTCCTGAGAAAATGTGTGCAATGTTTTCTTTTTGTGCTATTTCAAGGTGTTAAAGAACTGAAGGCTCTGCAGAAGTTCAGTGGGTGTTCTTTTGGAGCCTTATGAATATTTTTAAAAGTAAAACTCCTGGTTGAGCTTGTCAGTCCATGGCTGGGGTCTTACAGCCTCACTTGTTCTTTTCATGTTAATAAATTTAACAAAATTTGTTTTGCTGTTTAGTCAGTCATACACTGCTTAGTAGTACAAGTCTTGTTAAAATGGTACATTTCAAGTAAAGACTTATACTTTCAGCTGAAATAAAAACAGAAAAAAACCAGCCAGAAGCAGAATGAGTATTTGCGAGAAGTATCATAAATGCATCACTTTTCTTGTTCTTTCATATACACTAGACCAACAGTGGGCTAGAGAGATTTCTGGAGTGATGTTGTGCACCTGCACTCCTGTTAAATATTTGAGCATGAATCAAGTTCTTTGTAAAATAAACTTTGTCTGAGACCTAGAATAAAGGCACCTCCCAGTTCTTTTGGCTTGTTTGAATATTTGAATATAGTCCATATTTCTATCAACAGAAAAGGTAAAAAAAAAAAATCTGTCACTATCTGCCAAAGAAAATGGCATATCCTTCCTATGAGTACATTAAGATTTGACTGCATAATTTGAATAAGGTTTAATAACTTTGTGTTACTTTTCCTTACATGAATAAACTGTTCAAATGGGCACCTGAGAGGAAACGTTCTCTATCTTCCGGTGAGGTGAGACATTAGCAGAATTGAAATAATTTTACCATCATCAGTCTGAAGTAGAAACTAGAACCCCAAGAATGTTCTTCTATACTGTGGTAGACACAAGGGTTAACACTCAAGCTGTTGAATCAGTTAATAAATCAGTGGTTATGCAGAAGCAGCATAGTAGCTACTAGCAAGTTCAGGCTAATCAGAAGTATGTAGGGGAAAGAATATTCCCCTTTATCAGTAAGGAACATAAAGATTTAAAAGAAGGGAAATGCTGCAGAGAGAAGGCTAAAAATCTTAAATTTGTTCTTATTTCCGACTTCTAAATTCAGCTCAGAATTTTAGAATATTAATAAGCTCATTTACATTGTCAACACTGAGTACTGCACTAATAAATATCAATACTACATGACTACAGAAACAAAAAGAAAATAGATCAACAGTCCAACTTACTTCTTAAAATCTTCTGTTTGAATTTCTAACGTTGTCTTTTCTTCAAGCATTCTATCATACTGGTTTTTCCAGACATCAGCAGTGGACCATATCTCACACAATTTGACTTCCTAGAGAATGTAGAAGTCATAAATTTCATAACAGAAGAATGCCATTTAATTCTACAAATTTTTTTGAACATGAGAGCTATTTAATATAAGATGCCTTTATTGGATCTCCCTTGTACAAAGTAATGTAAATTTTGTCTTTTCTCAAAGTAAAATAAACAAAACTACCCATATTGTTCTGAGTTAGTTGGTACTTATCCATAAATGACTAACAGGAAGACCAAGAGAGGTTTGACCAAAAGCTGATGAGACTCCTCTTACTTACTACAGTTTGAAGTGTACAACCTCATGACTTAAGACAATCACTAAATTTTAACAAAACAAAGGCAGTGAATGCTAACAGTTTGCATGTCACTTATAGCAACCCTTTTCTTATCCAATGAGCAACAAAATAAAAGAGATACAAGCACAACATGACCAAACAACTTTTTCTGTTTGCCCCAGGTGCAAGTCTTCCAATTGTTCAATTTAAACAGTACAGCACAACATTGCTTACTGCAGAGTCACTCACGTGTTCTTTTATTTTGGAGGTTAAATTTTTTGCAGCTTCTTCAAAGAATTGAGCTCTTTGTTTCTGGGACCCCATTGCTTTTTTCAGAGCAATCTTGTTTTGTTCACTTGTTTCCTTTAAGGCTGACTTCTGGTGCTTGTATTCACCAACTTGATGTTTCCACTTTGCTATTTTCTTTTCTAGATTCTGCAACAGAACTAGACATCAACTCTTCAAATTCTAAACCCCACAGATATTTTTGTGATATAATCAGGAATAGCAGTTACATATATAATCTGTTTCCACAATATCTTTGTATCTCAAATGTGGTGATTGATACAATCACCTAGTTGAGATACATACAGCAGTAGACAAAAGAAAATACATATTGGGAAACTCATTACAAAGATCTGGAGAAGAGGTTGAGAAGGTGCAGAAGCAAGGAGTAAGGCAAAAGATAATCTAAACATTGTTGTGTGGTCTTGGAAATGAATGCAGAATTTCAATGTAGAAGGCATGACATGGATGTTAAACCCATTTATGAGTGGGAAAGTAACGTTGTTTCGTCATTCCTAGAGACTGATTTCTGTAAAGAATATTGCCTTAATGATGCTACCAGTGATATGCACTGACATCCATAGTGACACACACATTACAGGTCTGGAGATAGGTTGTATGACTGTATATGAAATTTTAATATGAAAGCTAATATCTTGGATTTAGTTTTTTTAAAGTCAAGAAGGTAGGATAGGCTGGGTCTTTTCTTGAATATATGTATTATGATATGTTCTGATTAGATGACAATATACTACCTTCTTGCAAGATCTCTGAATTTTTTCCATGCACAAAATGGCCCCACTCTATCAATAAAACAGATTTGTTTAGTGAAGAAATGATTTCTTAGTGAAGCAGAAAATGCAAAAAGAATAGATTTAGCACTGCCTTACCCACAGCAGACAGTTGTTTAAAGATAATTAAAACAGGCTATGATGAAGCTTAACCACAGTGATAAATCACACATTTTAAGGGCAACTTCTAAATATCATTTCCTTAGTGCTTGGTTTTGCGGCACTCAAGAAATAAAATACATTCACATTAAATGTATTTTAATGCATTTAATTATCAAACATGTACAAAGCAGTCGAGATGAGAGCTGAGTTCTACAACTGCCATTATACTATCTTCTCTATTGCTATTATTTCTGACTAACTAAACTTTTATATCACTCTGATGAAGGCAGAGTACTGATCCCATTCATTTCAGGAAGCTGGCCTCTCTAACTTTGGGACTTTTGTATTTTTCATCTACATACCACAAAAATATGAAGGGAAAAAACAAATGGGCGTTAGAACTCTACATGATGATGTACAATAAAAGCCATACTAGATGTTGCTTCAAGGAGAATCTCAAATCCACATGAAAATGACCAAACTACCAGTGGACAATGACTTTAATAAAGACAAGTGTAAATCCCATTCATATCCCTTATTATTCTTCTACCAGTGTAAATAATTTTCTCAAATCAGTGATAGATATTCTAATTGTAAGAATTATTACTGCATTTGTTTCCTTCGTTGTAGTCCAGGTCTGACACTAAATTATGTTCTACAAGAATAAAGACCTACTACTTAGCTACTGACCATGTTAATGTGCCAGCCTTATTCAAGATACACTTTGCCAGTTGCAATAAAAGATGCATATTATGCACAAGAGGGTATTTCTGAGAATAGGTCCTGCTAATGGCCTTGAAACTTTTACACAATCAATGCAAAATGTATGTGGTTTTCCAGGTAAAAGATGATCTCAGTTACTGGCATTCACCAAAAAGCAGAAGTACTACTTCAAATATAAAATTATAAAAAAACCCTGCAAATATGAAGGAAGTAGTTTTCCTCTATAAATGCTTACAGGGCATTAAATAAAAAAGGATGTGACTTGATGGGGTGGTAGATGAACACCCTCCATAAATACAGAAATAGAAAATCTGAGTCTATGTATGGATTTCTTTAACTGTTAGTATTAAGTAAACAAATGTTATCCCCTGTTATAACCACAGGGGGTCACAATCACACTAAGAATAACTGCTTTGGGCATTAGTCAGGGACTGCAGTAAATTTAATTGAGAAATAAATTCCTAAGTGTAATGCTAAACTTTTGCAAGCTTTGTCTAGATATTAATAAAATCATCACCAGGATTAAAGCTAGCCACCGCTTTCAGCAGTTTCTGAAAGCAAACAAAACCTTTAAATAAAGGTTGAATGAAAATACAGCTGTATATGAATTTTACTTTAATGTAAATATCGTTGGAATTCTATAATTGTACTAGGTGGAACAAGAAAGCAATTTTTATTTAGAAGAAAATGAGGTATTTATGCAGAAATAGAAATATGTGACTTGAAACTGAGTTGATATAGGTTGCTTAATAACTTCAAATGACATGATTAATAGGGGATATATGGTAGTAAAAAAAAAGTCTGGAAATTAGAAATACATTATTTTTAGCCAATGTTTTCTCATTCATGCCTATGTTCTTGACAGGTTTCAAATACTGAAATCTGAGGCCTCATATAGCTCTAGCCTCTCACGCATGACCTCTTCCTTGTCTTTTTCTAAGGCCAGCAACTGATTCAAATACCCAAATTTAACTCTTGCTTTCTAGAATAAAAAATGCAAATAATTTAACCTACCTTAAACAAAGAGAGATTAGGCATTAGTCTTAAGTGTTTCAGTTAGAATTAAGAGATTTATTGATTCCTTCATAGACCATGAAAACAGGGTGTGGTTCATCATCCCTATATTAGAACAGAAACAGGACTTGCCTATCTCTTTCTTTTGACTGTATTGAGACTGTCTCAGGATCAATACCTGTCTTCTAGATAGCACAGTTAAGTGAGTGCAAACATTTCTATATTTGTTAAACTTTGCTTCGCCAGAACTGTTTATGTGCACAAGTTGAGAAAAGAATAAAAAAAAACCCAACCTTGCAATTCAGACAATGTGGTCAGGCAGACTGTGCAAATTATAAATATGTATGATTTTTACTGTTCAGGATTTTTCTTTTACCAAAAACTTGATTTCAAATCTGAACACAATAAAGTTTTGCTATTTTTTTCCAATAAACTGGAACACAAGTAAAAATCTTTTGACCTGTATTTTTACTTTTAATTCATCATTTTCCGCTTCTTTTCTTCGAATCTGACACTGCAGGTGAGCTTGTACTTCCTTTACTGATCTTGACAGGTGGTTTCCTTTCTGTGTATTGATCTAAGAAAGAGAAATAAACACAAATCTATTGGCCTATGGAGATATGCTGTATGATGCTCTCTATACTGTTTGACATATTTTCTAACTGACATTTGAATGTCCTCAAAAGCTGGAAAAGATAAAACATGCTCTACAAGTATATTTACAAGGAGTAGCTTGTTACTGTTAATACTAATATTAATCAGAAATCACAAACTTGAAACACCGTATGTGTAATTGATCCTTCATATTTAATCTGACTTTAAGTAGTATGAATAAGGCCTGGAAGCATGAACACAAATCTAGCTAGCAGGATGACTAAAATTAAGCTACACTGATCAACTGTACTCTGACTAATCAGACCTGAACTGATCTTCATTAAATTCCAAAGACCACCATCTGCTATTAAAAGTATTGATACATTTAATTTAAACTGTAATTTTAGGGCAATACATATATCATAATGGAAGAGGCAACTTTTGTCATCAGAACTCAGGTCAAATGATTCTATGAAATTTCTTCCACCTTAATTCCTTTGGCTCATTCCAAATAAGAAGTAATCAGGTAGAAAATTGTCATATTATCATCAGTATAGACCAAAAAAGCATTGAATGCTCCCGTGCAAGTGTTCATTATAGATACCAGTAAGAAAGGCAGACTCAGACTCAATCAAATATTGATGAAAATACCGTTTATTGAAGATAACATAAGAAGGAGCACAGAAAATAATTTATCCCTTCAGATGCTAGGTACCCTAAATTGTTCAACATTAGATAGATCTCTAGTCAGACCAAGGCATGCTACACAGATCCCACCAACACTGAGGTCTGCTGGCATTGTGGTCTTCAGTATCTTTGTAGGCTTTACTGTTCAGCATTTCTATTTTCAAGCAAAAGGATGTTTCTATGAAAATGTGCTCCTTCACTTCAAGATAAAGACAAGGACATGCCTGACTGTGAACAACATCTGTTTAGTTTACTCCATAATACTTCCTTATAAGTGCTTTCTTTACAGAACTATTGCAAATCAGTATATGAGAGATCAAAAGCCCCACTAGTCCGGATGTGTGCCCTTCCCTGATCCTTGGGACATTAGTGTTAAGGATAACCTGTATCCTTGCTAGGATTGGATGCAGTCTTGATAGTCTTAAGATAATTCTGTAGGAAACATCTTTCAGTATTTTACTTTTTTCATAAATCTTTGAAATAATTACTTTTCTCAAAATTTAAATTTTTAATTAAGAATCTAGTACTTTGGAAGAAAACATTCCAACAGAACTGATCACTCACTTTTTCACACTGAAGCATGGATGAAAGTTCTCTAATCTGTTTCTCCCTTCCAAGTATTTTTTTCCTGAGATTCTTCATGGAAAAAAAAATAACAAAAAAAGTATTTTAATGTCTGTACACAATAATGCAGCAATAAAGCATACTGATGAACATTTCAGCTGTAAAACTAAGATTCCATTTTGTGACAATAAACCACAAATATTTCCACTTTGCCACTGTTACTGGAAATAGTATGACCCTGTGATGTAGCCCATTTCAGATGTATGGGATAGAATAAAAAAATAAAATGTTAATTTACTTACTGTATTTTGAGTTTCATTTTCACTTAGCTTCTGTATCAAAGTGTCAATGATTTCACTGTTTAGCTGCAACACAGGAAACATTAAAAATTACCTCTGATTATAACTGATTTAGCTTTTTTTCAATGGTTTTAAATTGGTTACATATCATTTGCTACATTTTCAAATCTGGTACACATGAATATAAAAGCTCGAATATTCAAAAGCTTAAACCTTTAAAATTCAATTTATTTTGTGCATAGAACTTTGTGGCTGAAGGAAACAAACTATGTTTATTCCATACACCGACTTCTTTCTTAATTTTAGCTGAAAGGGCTTTAAATGTCATAAACAAGTTTATTTAAGCACATAGTCAAATGGTAAAAGTATTTGTAGAACTTGCAATGTTTCAAGGAGTAATAATAAGTACTAAAGCCTTTCAGGAACCTCAGTTAGACAGGAGAATTTGAAGATTGAACTAGAAAGTATAGGATGGAAGATCGCAAAAATCAATCTACATTAGCTCTTACTAGAAATTCAAAAGAATTTATGTGCCTGTGATATTGTCAACTAAACTTGCTGTTTTAAATTGTCCAACTGTGTGTGAGTGTTGTGTAATTTCCCATTTAAAAGAAATAGACTTGTGTGTCTTTCAGATGGTAAATTCCATTTCAATTTCACTAATGGGAGGATAAAAACTGACTCAAGCTGGAAGCCTCAGAATCAAAAGTTTTACTACAACTCCTTCATTTTATCCTGTCCTGCATGTAATTCCTCATAATGTTCTGTAATCTCAATTCCATGCCTATCTGTAAAGTCAGTCCATGGACCTCAGTTCTGCACCCGGATTTCAACCTCTGCACGTACTGCAAACTTACAGATATTGTATTCAGTAGCAGTCCTAACCTTTCCTGACTAAAGTGAGTCAGATTTGCTCTCAGCAAAAAAAAAAAAAAATATATATAAAGAGAAATGCTGTTTTGTGACAGCATAGTAATTTATCAGCAAAAATGGAAGCACTCAGAAGACTTCCCAGAATTGAGAAGTGACCAGAAACCTAAATCACTCATACCATCTTCCCATTCTTAGGAAATTGTCTTCCCCACAAGTTTGTTCTTTATGAACTTTCTGTCTTTTTGTTGAATGATCAACAAAAAGCCTCATGCTGTAAGAAAACTAGTACTATCTATGAAAACCTGAAAATCAAGAATATTTTCTTCAAAATTAAAAAATAATGTTCAGAATAAGCATCCATTTTCATTAGCTTCTGAAAGAGAGTTAAGAAAGTCAGCAGTGACAAATCACATTTAATTTTAAAAGAAATCTATATTCTTCACTCCACTGAGTTCCATATGACTCTACTGTTATACAGAAATTCAGTCTGATCCACCTCCTGTTTTAACATACATAGTTTGCCAAATTCCTTCCAAATTTTTAGGAATTTTCTTGGTGCCCAGGACATAACAACAACAACAAAAAATCTTCCCAATACATCTGTTAAAGAAAATGACAAGACTAAATGTTTATTTCACACTTGTGTAAAAAACATACATTTGTATTGATTCTATGTTTATGCCTTACATATTTTCCTAGGTGATGTTCTAGACTGTCAGATTCTTTGCTTTGATCAGTAAAATATTTTTTATCTTGGATGGCTTTTGAAATTCTATGATAACCTTTTTTATATGACTGAAGCAGTGAACGGAGCTTTCCTGTTTCTCCCAGTTGTACATATGTTTTTCCCTAAAATGGCCCTCATAATTACATAACATTTAGTTTACTTACAGTTAGGTCACTGATCTTGTTAATTCAAGCATATCAACATAAAACAAGTCAGCTCTTCAGGAGAATCCTTCAGGAGAAATTTTAAAGGTCAAAGAATCATTTAGGATTTCCAAGAAGGGTAAAAGCCTGTGATATCACAGGATGTACCCTCAAACTGTTTGCTCACTGAACACACCTCATCTACAAGGCAAAGGCAAACAGTTTACCTCCAATGAAGGTGAAGGCCAAGACCTGCTCAGACATCAGTGTTATTTTTCAAAGCAGACTTCTTCCAGTTTGGAGGTAGCAATGGCTTTCCTCTTTTCGCAGTTTGGCAAAGCTCTTCACTGGGCAGGGCTCCTCAGAAAAATGATGCTGCCCGTGTCATGGCAAGTCCTAAGCCATGTATCAGGCCTACCACCTAAATGCATCCCATTCCCTCCCCCCCTTTCTTATTAAGGACCCTCACTCCTTCTCCAAACACCTCTCTTTTGCCTCTCCCTTCACACACCAGCACAACTGATGCTCTCACCAAGCACGAAGTCATCTGTGTACTCAGTGCTCCACTGACTACTCATTATTTTTTCAGAAGTGGATTGCATTGCCTTCTCCACCCACCATTCCTCCTGTGCTCAGCCTGTGCCAGGTGCATCTCCATCAAAACAATTTGTCAGACTAAAGGTTTATATTCTTACCTCCATATTCTCCTTCACATAGTTGAGAAAATGAATAACAGAATTCAGGGAGTTCCCAACTAAAATGATCACTTCTCACAGAATCAGAATGCAGACTGCTCTGCTTCCACCTGTTGTCTTAAGGCAAATAAGTACATTCCAAGCACCTAATGTTTTTTATTTTATATATATACATGTGTGTGTGTGTGTGCACATGCGTCTTGTTTTATTACAGGCTTACATTTCCCAGCAGACCTCAACCTGTGTAACACAGTGCAACTCTGTAGCTTTTTCTTGGATATAGAAACAAAACTAAGTTCTTGAATTTAATTACTTCCTGTGAAAACAGCATCTTGGAAGATTAAACATCGTGCTTCATTTATCATATGTTATCTGTGTAAGCAGAAAAGAAAAATACAATTTTTACATGGTTTCAGTATACTGTTGTTGTGTCCAGCAGTGTCACCCATTTTTTGAAATATCACTTCCCATTTAAAGCCAGGAAGAATATTTTGAATATTGTTAACAAAGTAAATAGAATTTATAATATCAAGCCTAATAGGAACAGAATGAACTTGCCTCAGTAGCATGAGGAAGAATAAACTTTTCCTGAGGATCAAAGTCCGCTAAAGGAGAAGTACAGTCATGTACAGGTAAAGACGAGGTTGATTGTGATGATGATGACATTTTGTTTTATTGCTGTATAACAAGACAGTATATGTTAACATATATTAGTGTTCTGTGAATCAGTAACTAAAACATTATTAGCATTCCAAGTTGTTCCCACTGCAGTGGGACCAGTGTACCAGACCAAGTAAACCCCAGACACATTAGAGATGTAACACAGCCAATGCAACTGAAATCTTGCACATATTGCTGTTCATAATTTGCAATCACTTAGGCAGCAATGAATTCACATACTTGGTACACAGAAATCAAATCCCTCCATGGCAGAAAACTGAACACAAGAAGGAGGTGGTAAAACTCGCAGCTGCGAGTTCCCACCTGCACGGATCCCGGCACAGAGGTGAGGGGCAGGGGCACAGGACACCCAACGCCGGCCCCCGCCCCGAGCCCAGCATCAGGCTCTCTCTCCTCGTCAAACGCCCCTGTACCCATCGCCTGCGGCTCCTGCTCCTGGCGTGTCCCAGGGTGACCCCTCCTTCAGCACCCCTCCCGCTGAGCAGCGCTCCCTCAGCACCCCTCCCGCGGGACAGTGCCCCTCAGCACGGCTCCTGTGGGACAGTGCCCCTCAGCAGGCTCCTGTGGGACAGTGCCCCTCAGCAGGCTCCTGTGGGGCAGTGCTCCCTCAGCGCCCCTCCAGCGGGTCACTCCCCGTCCCTGACGTCCCCACCTGCGCTCGCCGCCCCTCACCGCGGTCGCCCGCCGGGAGCCGTTGCCGCAGTAACGCGCCGCAGCCGTTGCCGTTGCCGTTGCCGTTGCCGTGGCCGTTGCCGTTGCCGTGGCCGTTGCCGTTGCCGTGCCGGCCCCTCTCGGGCGGGAGGCGGCGGCGCCCTCCCCGAGCCGGCCTTGCCCGACGCTCCACGAAAACACCCACCGCTCCCGCTTAGGGACGGCGATCTCCGCGGGCCTGGGGAGGAGGCATTGCCCCTTCCCCGAGAGAAGCGGTGCGTGCGGTCGGGATTGACAGGTACCTCGGGAAGCGGCTGTGCCGTCACCGGCTGGTGGCGGTGTCCGTGCGCACACAGCAGGTGACTGTCAGACCCAGATGGACAAGAAACGTGGAGACCTCCGGGGAACTTTTGAGCCTCTAGTTCATTTCTTTCTACATTAATTTTTACACATTTTTGTCGGAGGTTAAACACCAATTATCCATGTAACCTGACTGTATATGAAGCCGGTTTTTTTTGGCAATACATTGTCAAATATTATAAAAAAGCCACGTATTTTTAAATAACACATTCTGCTGAAGAATGAACCAATTACTCTTGCATCACATCACAGGGGAAAGCACTACTGACACTTGAGGTGGCACTTCAGTGAATATCTGAGACACTGCTATAGACGTATGGAAAGATCACTTTCAGATAATGAAGTGTGCAAAACAGAATGATCATGTAATATAAATATGATCACTTGTACAGATGCATATGTACATACACATAGACATGTACGCAGACACATATGACCATATGTAATTATAATTTGCCAGTTTTGTTTAGAAAAAGTCATACTGAGAGAAATGTTACTTTTTAATGTGCCAAGTAAATATCAGCATTATCAACTTATATTAAAAGAAAGCTTGAGACAAATAATCAAAATCAAAATAAAACATATAATTTGGCATAATTTTTAAACGTGCCAGTGTGTTTGTATTTTCTTCTATTTCTGGCAATGGAATTTCAGAATGCAGTTATTCACTTTATATACTCTTTGGAGAATATTATCTAGTCATGTGTACCCAGTAATAAAAATAAAAATAAAATCCTAAATGTCAACCTCTGTAATACCAGCAGACATGAAATCACTCCATCATCCATTCTAGAGTTGTACCTGAATTCGAAGGGAGATTTTGTCTTTGGTCACACAAAAGGCCTAACGCTTTGTTCTCTATAGGACCCAGAGCCTGGAACTGAGAATTCACCAACTCCAATACACCTTTGCTTTGGCACTGCAGTTATGAGCTGTGGCATTGGTATCTTTTAGTCACCTCAGGCAGAACTTGATATAAGATTGACTTAGTTTTAAAAGAAAAGAATGAATTCTTGCAATTTTCTAAAAATTTGGTGATTGCTTATAAAATATAAAGCACGAACTATCCATTGGTGAGGGCTAATTAGCATGATAAGTAGCATTGCACTCTGTATATGGCAAACAAAGAACAAATTACAAGTTTCAGTCCTCAAGCCCACATTTTAATGACAGTGGAATAATCCACAGAGTGGAAAATTTTTAGAGTAAATATGACACACACTTCCACAATGACATAATTACAGGCCTTACTAAAAGAGATATGGTGGAGAGAAGCTTCTTTAGATACTCCAAGAACTCTATTCAGTGTTTGTCACAGCTCATGACTTCATCTGCTCTAAAGGTATAACTGAACCTTTCATTTCCATGTCAGAAATTCAAGACTCCAATGTCTTTCTTTGTTCCTTGGTTAATTTTGGCAATAGCCTGCTATCACAAAAGCTGCAGATTTGCTGTGACCCTTTTAATACACTGTTCCTTCCTCATCCCTGTATGCACTGCTTGGTGCAATGCTGACCACAACTTATTTCTCCCAGCAATTCTTAGACACTTGCTGCCTTACACAGAAGTATGTATCCTGCAAAGACAGTGACGGCAATATTTCTGCAGTAGTCTATTGTGTGGTGGCAGTGACATCTAGTGGGCTCCAACAACACTTCCAGATTTCCCAAATGTTCCAAAAATAGGTCTAAGCATCTCTTTTTAGGATGCTCTGACCTTGTTATAAAAGTATTTTTGAAAGTACAATCAAATATGAATAGTTGGAGGTTGAATTTAGTTATTAAGGATGACTTTTACTTTAGGAGCATGTGGAAGATTTATTTTAATTAGGAGCTGCGGTTCATGGAGCTCTCTTGATAGCGAATGCTCTGAAGAAGTCAGTTAAAGTAATGCAGGATTCAGCACTCCCCCAAACACCTCTGCAAAAACCAGAAAAACTTTGCTCTGTCGTGCTTCCTGAAAAGCATGTGGAAAATGACAGGGTAAGACTGTTGGATTTCCATGACTGTATATATAAACAGTATATCTGTTGAAAAGCTATGTGGGCTGTAATCTCAGTGGCTGATACAACTGCCACATGCCATTTCAAACTAGATATAAAAGATATGATAGTTGATGTCAAAACCATATAAGCTATGTTCCTCAATGTCTTCCCAATATTCTTAAAATAATTTCAGCTTCCAGCTTCCTACACAGACTTCATGATGTTCCATGAAGAAGGTAAGTTTAATTATTCCTATGCCACATGTGGAGAAATTGTAGTGCCATGTATAAAATTACTTTCTCACAGTAATTATTAGCGAAGTGGTAAAGCTGCAAATATACCTCCAGTCACTAGTCTCTATTATTGCACAGTAAAAGGAAGAAACTCCAAAAGTTTATTTCTATTTCCACAGAGACCAGTTCCTCCAAGTATAAGATAGACAACTTCTGAGATAGACAGTTGGGATGTAGGACCAAATTGTTATCTTCCTGCTCCAGGAAATACGATATTGAAAGGACAAGGACCATAAAAACAACACATGATTTACCTAGACCAGTTCCCTGAAATTTCAGGGCTTTTGCCTACTGAATGTTTTGCCAGTTGTTGTGTGCAGTCCTAGTACAACTCCAGTTTGAGTGTTAGGGGAAGCACAGCAACAGCTGCCACGAGGACCATTGAAAGAGTGCACTAATGTGAAAAGAAGCATTAATTCTCACTCAGCTGTAGTTTCTGAGCGGAAGTGTGCTGTTGAGAACAGCTGCTTTCTGGTTCTGTCAAACCAGTCCCCAGATTTTTCATGAAAGCCTGATTGTACACAGGCCAGGCAGCTGGAAAAACTGATTTTTTTTTTTTATAATCTTTGCCTGGTTATTATCAACCTAAGATCACAGTTGTTAATGTTGGCAAAGAATCTATAGACTCACACACAAATGAATGTCCTTATCTATTCTAGTAAAACAAATTTTGCTTATTAAATAGAGGTAAAATTTAATAAGTTTGTTTAAAATTGCGTATTCTACTCCTTTTATTTTTATATGTCTTTTCTGTACATTAATAAATGTTAAATCAAATTTACACACATTTATCTTGAAAATCTGGTTCCAGGATTCCTAATATTCTTCAAAGTATTAGGTGGAGTTCTGCAGAGTTGTGACTGGTAATACACTGCCAGAACTCTTAACTTCCCACTGTTACACTGCATTAAAAGATTATATAAATACATAAATGTTAATAAAACATATGTTTTATGCAAATATATGCTGCAGTTACATATTCATGAGTGGGAAGAGAAGTAGTGTATATACACATAGTGACACATGAGCCATAAACCTCAGTATATTATAGAACTAAATAAGTATGAATTCCAACATGGGCACTACATTATTGACATTAGATGGGTTACCAAAATGTGTGTTTCATTTACAGTGTTTTCATAGGATATAAACTGGCTTAAGAAGGCATTTCTGGGATTGCCTTTTTCAAATCTTTGACTCCAAAGCCTTTGGTTCAAACACCACCTTCCCGTACAGTCAGAAAACAGTACTGGGATTCACCCGAGAATCATTTCAGTTATAAGCTATTATTCTTTACATAAAATATTTTATTTTAATTATACTATAAATCTTTATATTAATATAATTTTGGTTGGTTGGTTGGTTGGAGTTTTCTATATGAATCCTATTTCTAGTCATAGGAAGGAATGTTTCAGGGTCTGTTTGTATCCAACAGTACTATGCTGTAAAAGGTCTTTTTGGACATGTTATAAGCAAGGATGAAGATCAGATAGTAAACAAAATATGGTGTTCACCACACCTGCTGGTGTATTGGTCTCTTCTTGTCAGAGATCAGGGACATGACATCCTTTGATTTCTTTTTCGGCCTGAGACAATTTTTCAGCCTGACAATCTTATGGGTCTGGTACTTTTACAAGTAACCATTGCTGCTGTCTACCCTGCACTTCTGAAGGCAGCTACCGTTTGATAGTGTTCCTGTAGCACAGCTCCTCAGTCCTTGCAGCTTATCACAGTGAGTTTGGGTATCTCTACACACTGGGCATTCTTTGAATATACCTTCAGCACTCTCCATGTCAGTATCTGGCTTGTAACTAAGCCTGTGTGCTAAGTATGGCTTTCCTTACCTGAGCCAGATATATCAGTTTATCCCTAACCCAAATCCCTGACAGTCATGTTTTCGGCTCTGAAAAGCAGTTGTAGAGAGGGACTGCATTTCCTGCTAGAACCAGGCATTGAAGCTTCCAATAAAGGCAGGGCAGAGAGCCTGCATTTGGTAATATCCTAAAATAGCAACAGCAATCTCCAAGATTCAGTTGTTAACACCTGAATGTCTTTTCCTTCTAGGATGCCAAAAAGAAATTCCAGAGTTTTTCCTGAACAGTATGTAATAGGCCTACAGCATGTAGAGAAAGAGAATGTCAAGAAAGAGAGTAATTCAGTAGAATACCATGGAATTCAGGAAGCATAGAGGTTGTGATCCAATAACTGAATTTATTTTTACATGAAAGAATAAAATGGGGAAAAAGTTATCCAAGCTAGAGTTCTATATGAAATATGTAAACATGTAGTAGAATAGATCTTCCTCTTGAATAAGTGCAGCAGTCATTAGTCTGAAGAGTAATTTTATCCCTCTCACTCACATTCTGACTACTTAGCATTCATGAAAAGAGGAAGGATGTTAAAAGTGAGAACTGAAAAACCAGATCCAGCGCCCCACATATGCCAAGCAGCCCATCTGCTAATGGTGGA